TTTAGAGCTCCCCCCCCCCCCCCCCGATAAAATTCATATATCTTTAAATTTAAATTATATGAGAAGCACCATTAATAGAAATTCTGTAATCGATAAATCAATTAATCGTTTAGGACAGCCTAACATTCAAGTCAATCTCAATGCATAACTAAATAAGATAAACAATAACTTCTCAAAAAAATTTAATTTATCTTTATATGGAGAACTAAGTCTAATCTCAACTTTATTTATTTGCATCTTGTACTTTCATTGTATTTTATCTTAGCTAAATCTTCATTAATTTTGGAAACATTAGATATCTTGAAAAGATATTTTTTATTATAACAATATATTCATTTGAAATATTAATTTTAGCTATTAAAGTAAGACCTAAATTAATCCAAAAATAATTAAAATTTAATATGTTAAATTAACACCTAAGTCAATCATAAAATGATGGAACATAAAAATAGGTAAATACCGTTCATATTAGATGTTAGATGTATCATATAGGCGACTCATTTATGACGAACTAATGTCCTATGACAAAAATATGATTGTCTTGAAAAGTACATTGTAATCTAATTAATTGTTACATCTTTCTCTTCTCTCTTGAGTTCCTTCCACTTGTTTGGAAGCTAAGAAAATTTTAGGCTATTTTTCCTAGCTTATTTGATAGCTTGACTAATGGAATTGCCTTAACTGGCCTCACTTTACCACCTGGGATCTCTAATATCATATTTCTTCTCGGATTTTTCCATTGCTCAAAACCTTTCTTTTAGCTTTTCCATGATAGTTCTTGATTCTAGTTGAATCAGCAGCTAATTAAAAAAAGTCAATTCGATATACTATCTTAAATGCAAAAATGGGAGCATATATTAGTAATTCTAAATTACAACTGAAACTTTTGTCCTCACTAGTTTAACATAAGTAAAAGTTTATTGATTCTTAGTTTATCGTCACAAAGCTTACATCTACAAACTACTATATTTGGCAGAATAAACTATATCCCTATATTCATGAAACTACAATCAAAATATAAGGTAACCTATGTAGGCATTCTCACATTAGAATCAAACAAATAAAGTCAATCAATGATGGTACCATGAGACGAAAAGTCAATCAAGAATTCAAATCAGCTTATTCTAGTGCAAGTTGTATTAGCTGCTAAGAAATCGTAAAAAAATATCATAGGGATTAGATACACACATGTTAAAGCATGTAGTTTTACATATAAAACCAACTATTGCATATTGAAGGAAGCAGAAATAACCCTAGAGATGACAGAATGCAACATTTAGTATGTACCACGACAACCTTTTGCACCCTCTTAATATACTGCCACCCCTGCCAAAAAGAATAACAACAACAAACCCAGAATGAAACTCCATATAGAATTCAATTAAAACTAAAACAAGCATTCTAAATTATTTCCTGAAGTCTAATTTCAGTGACAACTTCAACTCAACTGGTGTATGGTTGCGAAGGTTTATGGATGAAAGTAAACTAAGGTGGCATGATTAGCATAACAGATAAGTAAAAATGCTATAATTATATAATCGTGTGAAATAAAAGAAATTAATTTTCTTCTCTAAAGAGAAATATTAGTATAAACTTAAACTGGTATTATACCTATACCACGTCTTAGTTTCTCACAAGTAGAACAACTTTCCGCAACTGCATCTACAGCAGTAAAATCACAATCAACAGTCGTCCGCACAACTCTAACAGCTTCCGAGAAAGGCCAGATGCCTAGAACTAAGGATATTGCAAAGAAACACGAACTTAATTACCAATTCCTATGCCCATAATAACAATTTATAAATGATACAAATTGCTTGAGAATATTTATTTGATAAGAAAAGATCCTAAAGTTAAAATTACTGCTAGTTCACTGTATCCCCAGCCAAGGTCAACCTATCAAGCGCTCTACCGCAAGATTCAATGTAGCATCCTTCGTGAACTTGACTAAGTCAAAACATTTGGTTTTCATGTTTTCTCTGGACTCCGTATCTTTTAGCTTGACAATTCGTACAAGGGTTTGAAAAGAATTCAAAGTTTTACAATTTATGTTGCGACCCAAAATCCCAACCCGTCATGATGGCGCCTAACACATTTGCTAGGCAAGCCAAACATAACAATAAAGAACTAAAATAACAGAATTTACAGAATAGCATAAGTTTGAAACCTCAATATAACAAAATACTGTTAATACATGATAAATCTCCTAGAAACTGGTACATACAGAGTCATGAGCTCTAATACGGAAATACAAATCTAAAATGACCAAGTACAATACTGTCTGAGATAAAGACAACAGTACATAAGGAAAGAGACGCCAAGACCACGGTCAAGAATGCAGTGCTACCTTGACTCTCAGCAATCAACTCGGCTACTGATGACTGGGTCCGACACCTGGATCTACACAATTAAGTGCAGAGTATAGCATGAGTACAACCGACCAAATATACTTGGCAAGTATCATGACTACCTCGGCGAGGTAAAAGAAGCAAGAATTATAAATGATACTTGCTATAACTTGTTCAGTTTCATAAATTCAACAAGTACATAATAGTAATATGATCAAGTATAATGCACAAAGAGAACAACCTATGTGTGCACAATTACTCAAGTACTCTGCTCGGTAAATGATACGGCATATAAGGATGATATACAAATAAATCAGGTAAATAACCACAGAAATTGCAAGTAAATATGCAATGCAAAATCCAAAACAAACACTGCCAGATTCTTCTCAGTATTTTCATATTCGTACCAAACCACTGATTAGTTTCCTGAAAACCGCGTGTACACCATCAAGAGAGAAACATGAGAGGGTGGCCCCTGGGGGGATGGATCCATATTCACATGCGGTACGAACAACTCGCGTGCTAATAATATCAATCGTACGGACAACTCACATACTGCACAGATAACTCACGTGCTAATAATATCAATATCTGGATCCGTACGGATAACTTACGTGATGTACGGACAACTCACGTGCCAATACTATCAACCGCACGGACAACTTACGTGCCAACAATCAAGATCCTCCCGGCGTGGTCATAGGCTACCAGTCCAGATCATAACTCACAGAAAGCAAATATATGAGAATACATATACATGATCAATGATTATCAAGTTTCATACTCCTGGACTGGTATAACTAACATGTCATAGGAGAATAACCTTAACGAGATCTCAAATGTGGTACAAGTAGCTCACAGAGGGGTATAAACAGGAGAAACATCACAACTTGAAGCTTAGCAGCTAATTCAAGGCATATCATAACCTAAGCACTACCCCCGAACATGACAATAGTACCCTGGTGCACGCATATAGGCTCAACCCCACACATATACGCCAATCATAGTATGTAGTTATCATAAATAATTCAGGCAACTAGTGCCTCAACCAAATTTAGGTAAGATACTTACCTCAAGCAAGCCAAATCACTCCTCTAACAAGTCCTTCCCACGCGTATCAATCTCCAGGCGACTCGAATCTAGCCAAAATAATGTAATACCATCAATAAAAACCATATGAAGTGATTCCAAAAGACAAAGCTAAGATCTTTAACTCAAATCAAAAAGTCAATCCAAAAAGTCAACCCCGGGCCCGCACCTCGGAACCCAACAAAATTCATAAATTTCGAACACCCATTCAATTACGAGTTCAACCATACCAAAATCATCCAATGTCAATCACAAATCGGCACTCAAATCCTCAAATCTCACTCTCCAATAACATAGTCCAAACATCCCCAAATTCCATCTTAGATTCATGAAAATTAGGCGTAATAATCAATGGGTAATTAATATCTAATACCAAAATTGAATAAACTTCACTTACCTCTTCAATTGGGATGAGAAACACTCAAAACATCGCCTTAGACCGAGTTCCACAGTACCAAAAATGAGAAAAAAAACACAAACCCTCAACATATGTAGCCTATCAAGCAAAACCGCATATGCGGTCCAAGTAGTCGTACCTGCGATGCTGCATCTACGAAAATTTCATCGCAGATGCAGATTCTCATTAATACCCGACCATCCACTTCTGTGGTTAGACCCTCGCACCTGCGGAAGCGCATCTGCGCATTACCGTCCGCTTCTGCGGTTTCCCCTGCCCCAGCTCATCCTCCGCACTTGCGCACAACTGGCCGCATTTGTGGCACCGTACATGCGGTCCAAGGTTCACATTTGCAGACTTCTCGTAAAGCTCTTCCCTTCGCTTCTGCAATCACTAGGTCGCTTCTGTGGCCTCGCACCTGCGGCCACATCCTCGCAGGTGCGATTGCACCAGACTTGGTAATCCCCAGCAATTCTTCTAAGTCCAAACATGGTCCGGCATCCATCGGAATTAACCCTGAGGCCCCCGGGGCCCCATCCAAATGTACCAACAGGTTTTAAAACACAATACGAACTCGCTCGAAGCCTCAAATCACATCAAACAATATTAAAACCACGAATTGCACATCAATTCAAACCTAATGAAACTATTGAACTTTCAACTTCTAAAACTTATGCCAAACCATATTAAATCAACTCCGATTGTCCTTAAATTTTGCACACAAGTCATAAATGACACAACAGGCCGATTTCCAACTCCCGAAACCGAAATTCGAACCCGATATACAAAGTCAACTATCGGTCAAATCTCTCAACCTTCCAAACTTTCCAACTTTCGCCAAAATGCACCAAATCAACCTACAGACCTCCAAATCCATACATACGCCTAAGTCCAAAATCAGCATACGAAGCTATCGAACCCATCAAAATTCCATTCCGGAGTCGTTTACAGAAAAGTCAAATTTCGGTCAATTCTTCCAGCTTAAACTTCCAAACCTTGAAACTAAGTGTCTCAATTCACTTCGAAACATCCCCGAAACCAAACCAACCCCCCATCAAGTTACATAACCACAAATAAACATAAAAGAAGCACGGGACTACGATACACAAAACGACCGGCCGGGTCGTTACAATTTATTACTTTACAATTCCAACAATTTGAAACGACAAATCGCAAAATCCCTAATTTGGCTAATCTGGGGTTACAACTTACAATCCAAACTAGCAAAATGAAAAGGAAAAACAAAAACAAATAGAGAGGATTGTCAAAAAACTTACTGGAGTTTCACTGCGTTGGAGTTTTGGAATGAAGTCTTGAAGTCTGAATAGGCCGTGAGAGTTTCACAACGACTCTGTCTCCTCTAATCACTCTATATTCCTTAAAAATTCAGATAGTAGGGTTACATATATCAACCGGTCGCTTACCGGTTCTCGCACTTTGCAGTTGGAAACTTCATAAGAGACTAAACTAATTTAAGCACAATACTTTTCGGAGACACAGAGAAAGCCAGAGGACGAATCAGGTTGGTGGGCCAGCGGGAAACTGATTTTATGGGAAAATGATTTCGAGAATTTGAGAATTTGGGAGAAAGGGGGGAGGGGGAATTTGGGGGTTGGACATTTTGTTTTATTTGTCTTTTGAATTTTCAATGTAGTGTGTTTTTCTTTTCAACACACAACTTCAAAAAAGAAATTCCAACAAGTTCAATGTGAATTGAAATGAGAAACTACAAAACAAGATTCTGGTAGATTTAACATTCTCTCAATAAAACAATGATTTTATTGAAAATTTATTTTCATAAGTCAAAAGTATTGTACAATTTATGCTTATATAGCAAAATACAAGGAAATATTGATTTTAGCTAATAAAGTAAGAACTAAATTATTCCAAATTTATTAATTCATCATACACTAGATTAATAGCTTTGCCTTTCCTCATCCCATTTTTTTCTCTTTGATCCCACGCTAATAAAAAATTGTTTGATATGGAAAATTAAGACCTAAGTCAAGTTGAAAATGATAGAATATATAGATAGGTAAACGTAATCCATAATTGGATATATCATATAGGTGACTTATTGTAATTTATAAGTATATGAAAAAATTATTTTAAACTATTAAATCAACACCTTAGTTGAAAATTTTAATTTTAGCTATTAAAATAAAATACAAATTAATTTAAAATAATTAACTCATTATACCCTAACAAAAATATTTCAATGTGAAAAAATTAACACTCAAAGCCAATCTTAAAATGATGGAGCGTATAGATAGGTAATTATTCATATTTAGATGCATCGTATAGCTGTCTCATTGTAATCCATAATTTGATAATATATATATANACATATGTGTAGATAATAGTAATTCATAATTTGATTTATCATATAGGTGGCTAATTGTAATCTATAATTAAATAAAATATATATGTAGCCAATTATAATTCATAATTAGGCAATTGTAATTCATATATGTGTCTCATTGTAATTCATAATTAGATGAATTATATATATAGAGGCAATTGTAGTTCATAATTACATATATCATACACGTGTCTCATTGTAATCCTTAATTAGATAAAACATATGTGTGGGTAATTATAATTCATGACTGGATGTTATTTACGTGTAAAACAGTACAGTTGAATTTATAAGTGGTGTGATCTTGAAATAATGCAATAATTCAACAAATGTACAATACTTAGCCTTAAAATGTAGATGAAACAGCAGAGATGACAGTTTCGGGAATAAGGTTTCCGGGCATAGCAATGATGAGATCAAAAAGCGGGAAAGTAAGATTGTATTAAGTTTTGTATAGAATGTAGTGTAAGTTTAGCCAGAAAATTCATGTCTTTTACAATGATAACTGGGCTCACTATTTATAGTTGTGTCTAGGAAAGGAGGTCCTAGGATCGTACCCTCCTTTAATGTCAATTATGAGGGTTATTCATGAAGATATAACGGTGAACATAAATGCTAAATTCTCTGTAACGGGCCGTCACTCTTAATGCTGCAGAATATTCTTTATTAAATGCTACCGAGCGTAGAGCATTTAATATATCTTTATAAACGTACCTTTTGGTGACAAGCGGAATGGCTGCGTTCGGTCTTCGGTCATCCCCGTCTTGGGTTCCACGTGTATTTCCTTTAGATGACCACGTATCATATCATATTTCACCCTATACAGATAGTCCCCCTGCTTTCCGGTGACATAACTTTGTGTTACCGAAAAGTTGGTAGAAATACTCTTTTGGCGGAAATTACTATAACTCCCTCTGAAAGCTTCTGACGGTTGATTCGTGAGAAGGAGGAACTTACTTCTAAACGGAATCAACGTTTGGTGGAACAGGACCAAACTATTCTACGCCTCTCGGAACTGAAAATCAAAGTTACTGAGGCCGTTGTTTTGGAGGCTCATTTGCAGCAAAGCGAGCAAGAAGTGGTAACCCTTAGCCAAGAAATTGGCCCATTGAGGGTTAGATTTGATGAAGTCAAGGCCAAATGGGCTGAAGTCCAGGATGTCGTTCTTGCTACAACCGAGCGCGAGGCTTCTACTGCCGAAAAAGTGACTGACTTAGAAGCGACCTTGAACTCCAACATTGAAGAACTTGCTGCTGTGAGGGCGAAACATGCACAATTGGACGAGAAGTACAAGAAAACTATCGAGCACAACAGGCTCTTTAGTTCTATCGTCCGTGACCTTGATGTTAGCCTTAGATCTGTTAAGTCCGCCCGGGAAAGCCTTTCTGCCGAGGTTACCCAATTCAAACAAGAACTTACGCACCGAGCGGCTTCCCTCGTTGTCGAAAATACTTATGTCATGTATAGCATGAGAAGAAAAACCTTGGAAGAGGCCAAAGCACGTATCATTAACTATGATGCCAAAATTGCTAAGGCCCGAGAGCTTGAGTTGGCTGCTAAAAATGGACTCTCGGCGTAGTTTGATGCTCCTAGTTCTTCTGGCTTCGGTTCTGAGTTTTTGGGAACTAAAGATGAATCGGAGAGCCACGATGCTGAAAACCAGACTGGGAAAAACGTCGAGCCATTGGTGGACCCACCTACTTTTCCTGGGGATGCGGACACTTCTCTTCCTCCTGGTTCCGAAGACACTGCAGTTTAGCTTTTTTTTCTTTTTCCCATTTTGTACTTTTACAGTTTTGGCATGTTCTTGTAAATAAAGACATATTTTTGCTCAAGTATTGTTTGAGTCTTACTTTCATTTGAATATCCATGTAAGTCTTTAACCTTTGCATCTGCTTAAGAATTATGTGCACGTTTTCTGTTCGCTCTTTACTATGTGTAGTCTCGGTCTCTCAGATGCATTTTTCTCGAAGCACTTTGGTTCCGAGCATTATCCCTTTTACGTGAGGGTTTCTATAAGTATTTGCGCAAGTTTACATTTTGCGTCCTTTCGTGTACGTCTTCGGGTGCATTTTTCCTCGAAGGCATTTTGATTCCGGGCACATATTCTTCCGAAACCAACCCTTTAACGTGAGGTTTTAATAAGAGAGGGCCCTCTTATATTTACAGTGCTCTTGAAGAGGACGTCTCATGTTCATTACGGCACTAATATTTGAAGTACTTGTTTAACTTTCAAATGACAAAGTTAGTTCATCGTTCAAACAAGAAACAAGATAAAAACAAAAGAATTGATTCTTTCTATTTTCAAAAGTACACAAGCATTTATTATGCTAAAAATAAATTGCCATTACTTATGGCTATCTTGTATAACTTGTTTTTACGGGGCTGGCTGCACAGTCCCCAGTCCGGATGATGCATTTTGTTTTCAAATTTTTTTTTTTTCGGTTGACGTGGCAGTCAATGTTGTTGTATCCTCATATCATTCCCCCCTGTGTTCGAATACGAAGAATGCGAATTGGAACACTATAAGTCTTGCGCCTTTAAAGATTCCACCAATGAATTGCTAGATAATCCTTAACTCAACAACATACCTTACTTCCCCTTAGGAATCCATGCTATCGAGCAAAAGACTATCTAACAATCTTCGAGTGATTTGTGCTCGTGAACAGTCGGGTAACATTTGTTCGGTAGCAAACTTAACTTTCCAGTGAGAATTTGCTATCGAGCCGAAGATTATCTAACCGTCCCCGAGTGAAAACTTGTTTGTTTGCCTTGCTATCAAAGGTCTTATTGTTATTGTCTTCATAGTATGCTTTCTATCGCTGCCTCATTAAAAACCTTACCAGAAAAACCCAATTGGGACAAAAACTAAACGAAGGGAAAAAGAATGCAGCACATACTTTCCGCTTGAATAATGTTCATCAGCAATAATATCTTTTGAGGTATGCCACGTTCCAGTTGCTAGGAAACTTGTCTCCATTCTAGTTCTCCAACTCATATGAACCTTTCCCGGTGATAGCTAAAACCAGGTAGGGACTTTCCCACGTTGGACCTAGCTTCCCCGCGTTGAGCTCTCGGGTATTTTGGGTTACTTTCCTCAGAACCAAGTCTCCTACTTTAAAATAACGGAGGTTGGTTTTTCGATTATAATATTTCTCCATTCTTTGCTTTTGAGCTGTCATTCTTACACGCGCCAAGTCCCTACATTCCTCGAGCAGTTCCAAGTTGTTTAACATGCTTCGTTGTTCGATTCTTCATCTGCCCAAAAATATCTCAAAGTGGGTTCACCCACTTCCACCGGAATTAGGGCTTCAGCACCGTACATAAGGGAAAACAGAGTTTCTTCTATGCTCGATTTGGCCATTGTTCGGTAGGCCCATAGAACTCCGGGCAATTCTTCGGGCCATTTGCCTTTTGCTGCTTCCAACCTTTTCTTGAGGTTTTGAATAATCACTTTGTTTGTTGACTCCGCTTGACCGTTTGCGCTGAGATGATAAGGAGAAGATGTGATCCTCTTTATCTTCAAATCTTCGAGAAACTTTGTAACTTTTGCACCAATAAATAGTGGCCCATTGTCGCATGTTATCTCTTTTGGTATTCCGAACCTGCAAATTATATTTTCCCACAGGAAATTGACCATTTCGCGTTCTCTGATCTTCTGACCGTCTTCCACCAATTTAGAAAAATAATCAGTCAGAATTAAAAGAAACCTTATCTTTACGGGAGCCGGTGGAAGCGGTTCGACGATGGCCATCCCCCATTTTATGAACGGCCATAGGGATAGAACCGAATTTAAGGGTTCTACCGGTTGGTGTACTAGTGGTGCGTAGTGTTGGCACTTATCACATTTTCGTACGAAGTCTTTGGCATCTTGTTCCATGCGAGGCCAGTAATATCCTGCTCGTACCAACTTCAGCACCAAAGAATATGCGCCCGAGTGATTGCCGTATATCCCTTCGTGGACTTCTCTCATGACATAATTAGCTTCTGACGCTCCTAAGCACCGGGCCAGCGAACCTTGGAAGGACTTTCTATACAATTGGCCTCCCTTGAAGCTATAACATACAGCTTTAGCGCGTAACGTCCGTGATGCTTTGGGGTCTTTGGGCAACTTTCCATGCTCGAGATAGTCGATTATTTCTTTTCTCCAATCCCATACCAGACTAGTCAAATTTACTTCATAGTAACCATCCGTATCTAGGACTGAGTTCATCAGTTGCACTACCGTCCCGGACTCCGATCCCTTTATTTCCATCGA